TTGTTGTGATACTATACATGAAGTCCTCCACCCCCGGACGTTTCCGTCATCCTTGGTTTGGGGGTGTGACTCATACTGCTAAGCCGAAACTTAGAAAAATCATAACTTCCTCATACGAAGTCAGATTTGGGCGTTCTTTTTATCCACGCTCTCGATATAACGAACACTACGACTTTCGGTTAGATTACTTATGCTAAAAAACATTTTATCGTAAATTCGCTTTTTACGTCACACAGCGTCGTGCCGGTTCTGTCGCGAAACTTCGACATGTCATAACTTCTTCGTTATAACTCGGATTTCGGTATTCTTTATATCTCTAGAATCCTTGTTTCGACCTCTAAAGCTTTCTTCATAGATATCGGATTTATTTAACATTTCACTTTCAACGCTTATTTTATCCTTAATTTATTATATAATCATAATTAAATATAAGGCACATAAATTTACCTAATTCATTCTTATTACTTCAAAACACGTTACAATAGTTGACCTAGACTATTACATCGTCTTTAATGCTTAGCCCAGAAACACGGGCGTTACATCATGGAAGAGGTTTCTATGGAAATTACGAAAAATGTGGAGGGTGTGGAAGAGGAAACAAATTAACCATCAGTCTCAGGAAGATAATCATGATACATATGATAATCAAGACAACAGTCACATTCAATGTTACAATTGCCAAGAATATGGGCACTATACAATCAAATGCAAGAACCTAGCCCAAAATCACATCGATGAAGAGCCGACTTTACTAAAGGCAGTACTCCACAATAGTGAGAAAGGTGAGTGAGACAATACGGAACAAACCTAGCCCAATATCATATCGATGAAGAGCCGACTTTACTAAAGGCAGTACTCCACAATAGTGAGCCCGAAGATGAAGTATATTTGAATGAAGAAAAGGTGAACCCAAAATTAAAACCGGATGAAAAAGATCGTAATATGTCCAAGGTATGATATCTTGATAATTGCACGAGTAATCACATGAATGGTGAAAACACCGAGTTTCGAAATCTCAATGAAGCGATCTAAGGTTATGTAAAGTGTGGAGATGTTTCGAAGGTCAGAATTGAAGGCGAATGACCGATTTTATTCCTTTGTAAAACTGGTGAAAATAGACTACTACAGAATGTATACTACATACCAAAGTTATGTAGTAACATCATTAGATAGGGCCAACACGAACAAAACGGTGATCAAATCATAATGTTTGGATTATACCTGTGGATACATGATAAAAGGAACTGACTGCCCATGAAGGTAAAACAATCTGAAAATCGACTTTATAAAATAATTTTGAATGAAATCGGACCACGAAGTCTATTTAATTAAGTTGAAGAACCTTTACGCCTAATGAAGGGTTGGTTTGTGAAAAATCGAAGATTGAAGTGACCACAAGTTTGTATGAAGGATGCTCGACAGAAAAGATAGTTCACAGGGAACTATGTACACTCGTTAGAGGAAAAAGGTACCCATTGCTTGTTGGTAATGAAGTAGGTGAGTTTCAAGTTAAGGATGTTACTGATAAAACTCATCATAAATTTGAGAGAAAATACGAGTTGTATTCACTTGAGGAACAGAGCATCTTAGGAAGTTTGGCTAAATATGAGAAAGAAAAATTGGCTCTTTCATATGCTATTGGAATAGAATTGATGGTATTAAGCAACAGGTAAGTTGCTTAGCTGATGCAAATATTACCAAAAGAAAAGTAAATGAGGATCTATGCAAGAAAATCAACTTTGATGAAGTTGCGGTTTATAAGGCTGAAGATATGGTTGCAAATGTTAACGTTTAGACTACACAAGTGGTACTAGAGTTGGTGCCACCTGATATCACTCCCTTATCAGTACGTAGGTGATAAGACAAAAGAAGATATAATGCATGTTGTTGTCCCAAGAAACAATCGTATAGACGTAAAGAATACTAAGAATTTTGTACAGGAGCTAAATCCTATTTTAAGGTACATTAAAGATGCAACATATTATAATCTAGTTTGTGTGAAAGAAGACTAAGAATTTTGTACATGAGCTAAATCCCATTTTAAGGTACATTAAAGGTGCAACACATATGCGGATCTACTATGTATCCCGGGATACCCCTCAAAAAAAATTTAGTAGTATAATTTTTTCCGGAATTTTTTTTTATTGTGTATTACGTGATTTTTTTTGTCGGGATACTCCTTTAATTATTGGGGATACCCCTTTATTTTGATCCTGGATCCGCCACTGGTGCAACATATTATAATCTAGTTTGTGTGAAAGGATATATCATTGGAAAGACGGAAAAGTTGAGTAATTCAATGGGAAAAGTCAAGTTTGAAGAGATGTAAATGATGCTAGGAATGAAGATGATGCAACTTTCTTGATTGGGGGGGGGG